AGAGCACGTGATAACAAAAACTGTCGGTGTCTGTAAATAATAACTTTATCCCGTCTCCATATTTCGGTTTGAGATATTTGTAGTAAAAAATCGTACATAATAATTTTCGATAGATCTAAGATAGCTTGACCAACGTAGAAGGGTTTGTTTAAAACCAACTTAATTTTTGCGTTTTCTATGCCAGTCAAATTCTCATTAAAAATAGTCAGTCTTTGAAAAGAAGATTTTGCACAATACTTTTTAAGTTTTTTGGTCGTGTCGTACGCAATCGATAGTGGTCGTACTTGTCAGAAATGGCAAACAACTACCAGTTTTTTCTTCTCGTTGGGTTATCCATATGCCAAAAATGTTTAAAGTGATTTTTGGATATTTATGAAGAGCTTTTTCTTATTATCCAAGCTAGGCTGCTCACTGCAGAGGAATAGAATATTTTTTTCCGGAAACTAGGTGTTCACTTTTAGGTAAAACAGCGGTTTCATATTTCTGTTTCCATGGCTAATGTTGTTGTCTGTATCCATAGTAGCTATTGGCTGTTGGCTATTAGGTTAATAAACTAAACGGAGAAAATAGTAGTACCAGAAAAACCTGTTAGTTTACTCCCTGAATTGTGTACTGTGACGGACATCAATGTCTACTCCCTGAATTGTGTACAGTGACGGACATCAATGTCTACTCCCTGTATTGTGTACTGTGACGGACGTCAATGTCTATATTCCCTGAATTGTGTACTGTGACAGACATCAATGTCTACACCCTGAATTGTGTACAGTGACGGACATCAATATCTACTCCCTGTATTGTGTACTGTGACGAACATCAATGTCTACTCACTGAATTGTGTACTGTGACGAACATCAATGTCTATACTCCCCGAATTGTGTACTGTGACGGACATCAATGTCTATATTCCCTGAATTGTGTACTGTGACAGACATCAATGTATACACCCTGAATTGTGTACTGTGACAGACATCAATGTCTACACCCTGAATTGTGTACAGTGACGGACATCAATATCTACTCCCTGTATTGTGTACTGTGACGAACATCAATGTCTACTCACTGAATTGTGTACTGTGACGAACATCAATGTCTATACTCCCCGAATTGTGTACTGTGACGGACATCAATGTCTATATTCCCTGAATTGTGTACTGTGACAGACATCAATGTATACACCCTGAATTGTGTACTGTGACAGACATCAATGTCTACTCCCTGTATTGTGTACTGTGACGAACATCAATGTCTATATTCCCTGAATTGTGTACAGTGACGGACATCAATATCTACTCCCTGTATTGTGTACTGTGACGAACATCAATGTCTATACTCCCCGAATTGTGTACTGTGACGGGCATTAATATGTACTCCCTATATTGTGTACTGTGACGAACATCAATGTCTATACTCCCCGAATTGTGTACTGTGACAGACATCAATGTCTACACCCTGAATTGTGTACAGTGACGGACATCAATATCTACTCCCTGTATTGTGTACTGTGACGAACATCAATGTCTATACTCCCTGAATTGTGTACTGTGACGGACATCAATGTCTACTCCCTGAATTGTATACTGTGACAGACATCAATGTCTACACCCTGAATTGTGTACTGTGACAGACATCAATGTCTACACCCTGAATTATGTACTGTGACGAACATCAATGTCTATACTCCCTGAATTGTATACTGTGACGGACATCAATGTCTACACCCTGAATTGTGTACAGTGACGGACATCAATGTCTACTCCCTGAATTGTGTACTGTGACGAACATCAATGTCTATACTCCCTGAATTGTTTACTGCGACGGACATCAATGTCTACTCCCTGAATTGTGTACTGTGACGGACGTCAATGTCTATACTCCCTGAATTGTGTACTGTGACGGACATCAATGTCTACACCCTGAATTGTGTACTGTGACGGACATCAATGTCTACACCCTGAATTGTGTACTGTGACGGACATCAATGTCTACACCCTGAATTGTGTACTGTGACGGACATCAATGTCTACACCCTGAATTGTGTACTGTGACGGACATCAATGTCTACACCCTGAATTGTGTACTGTGACGGACATCAATGTCTACACCCTGAATTGTGTACTGTGACGGACATCAATGTCTACACCCTGAATTGTGTACTGTGACGGACATCAATGTCTACACCCTGAATTGTGTACTGTGACGGACATCAATGTCTACACCCTGAATTGTGTACTGTGACGGACATCAATGTCTACACCCTGAATTGTGTACTGTGACGGACATCAATGTCTACACCCTGAATTGTGTACTGTGACGGACATCAATGTCTACACCCTGAATTGTGTACTGTGACGGACATCAATGTCTACACCCTGAATTGTGTACTGTGACGGACATCAATGTCTACACCCTGAATTGTGTACTGTGACGGACATCAATGTCTACACCCTGAATTGTGTACTGTGACGGACATCAATGTCTACACCCTGAATTGTGTACTGTGACGGACATCAATGTCTACACCCTGAATTGTGTACTGTGACGGACATCAATGTCTACACCCTGAATTGTGTACTGTGACGGACATCAATGTCTACACCCTGAATTGTGTACTGTGACGGACATCAATGTCTACACCCTGAATTGTGTACTGTGACGGACATCAATGTCTACACCCTGAATTGTGTACTGTGACGGACATCAATGTCTACACCCTGAATTGTGTACTGTGACGGACATCAATGTCTACACCCTGAATTGTGTACTGTGACGGACATCAATGTCTACACCCTGAATTGTGTACTGTGACGGACATCAATGTCTACACCCTGAATTGTGTACTGTGACGGACATCAATCTCTACACCCTGAATTGTGTACTGTGACGGACATAAATGTCTACACCCTGAATTGTGTACTGTGACGAACATCAATGTCTACTCCCTGAATTGTGTACTGTGACGGACATCAATGTCTACACCCTGGATTGTGTACTGTGACGGACATCAATGTCTACACCCTGAATTGTGTACTGTGACGAACATCAATGTCTATACTCCCTGAATTGTGTAGTGTGACAGACATCAATGTCGACACCCGGAATTGTGTACAGTGACGAACATCAATATCTATACTCTCTGAATTGTGTACTGTGACGATCATCAAACTTGTCTTAGCCGTTAGTGTTTTATTAACGTTAAATATGAACAAGGGTCATTTAAACAAGTATTTAATGGAAAAGAACGTATGAAAAGTAGGTCACAATGACTATCGTATGTCAAAACAGTTGCATGTTTGTTTTTCAACCCATTGACTATTTCAATAATGTTATTATGTGTCGTTTAAAGTTCGAAAAGGTCACATGGATGTTAATTGGTTAACCATCGATTCTTCATGTATGGCCTAATGGACATAGCTCGGCCAAATATGTGTTCATTTCTTAACCCTGTGACATCGCTTTTTTTGTAAATCAAATTTTGAAAACTCTTTTACTGCATTTGTTCAGACAACAGTTTTTTCAATCTCTTATTCCGATGACCATTTAGAATAACGAAGGCCTGAATATTAGATCATAGTGTCCTTATTTGGTCACACAGCCATTTTATGTTAATTTCGGAACCTGTGAATTATTTCTGATATTCGAAATGTTGGTCACAGTGCACTAAATTCACAGTGAACTTAATGGTAAAGCAGCAACACGAAAATGTTTAAATATGTCGGTCATTTTTTGAAAGTTAGGTAACAGTTACCTATTTTATTTCAAACACCAGTTATTTTTTAACCTGATGACCGTTTTCAATAACGTACAATGAATGAAGGTCAACGCTTCAAACTGATGTCATCGTGACCAAATATGGTCAGACAACAATGTTATGTCGGTCAATTTTTGATAGTTAGGTAACAGTTACCTAATTTTCAAATATTTAAAAAGGTAACAGTGACCTAATTTTGTCTAATAACAGATTGTTGTAAATCCTTGATAGTGATGGCAAGTTTTATAATGTAAGCCAAATTTTGAAAATTAAGTCACGGTAGCCTACTTTTCTCTACCAATTGATAATTTCTGAGTCTTAAGACCATTTCTTATAATGTAGTTCAAACCTTGAAATCTAGGTCACAGTGACTTAGTTTGATCTAAAAAAAACTCAGCTATTTTTCATTTGATGACCATTTATGATGATAAAGGTCGATTGTGAATCTTAGGTCACAGTAACCCCAACTTTGTCTATCAACAGTGTGAAGTTAATCCTTAACTCGATGACAATATTTTATAATAGGGCTGAAATTTAAAGAAAATAAGGTCATATTGACCTTTTTTGTCAAAAAAATGTTAAATGACTGAACCCGATGACATTCTATTATGATGTGGGTCAAATTTCCAAAATTAATGAAATGTTTTAGTGAAGGTGATTTTGTTTTGAAATATGTCACATGACCTAATTAGGTAAAATTAAAGTAGATATTTTAAATCAATATCAAGAGTTCGTATGGTCCATTTTCAACGTGTATGTAAACATAACTTTGAGTTAGGGTCTTTTTCTGCAGTTTCCAGGTTACATTTTCAGCGTTGAAAACTGACCCCGGTTCCATTTTCCAAGTGTGTCCATTTTCAACGTAATATCGGCGCTCGTCCTTGTCTTCGAAATTCATGAATATTTCTGTAAGTAAATTTACCTCTGTTCATCCTTTATAATATTGGAAACAGACAGATTAACTCCCTATATCGTCACAATTGTGACCGCTGTGTGCAGACTCATTCTAGACATCGAAATACCTTGTCAATTGGAGCTTTGTCAGATTGATATCGTCGATACGTCAGACGATATAACGTGTCACTGTTGTGAAATAGTCTACTGTAGTTTAAACTTATTTATATAATAAACAGCAAGACAAAGCGGATGGAAAAATAATAAACAGTAGATCCAGCAACTATATTCACGATGAATTTTGTTTATGTATACAACTTCGAAACAACTTCATATTAATATCAACAGCTGTTTTGGGTCTCGTGTGCTATAATTAACCAATCACAGAAACTATAAGAAAGCACAAAATCATATGAGGAATTACGTATGAGTTACTGTGTCGAATTCAGTAATCCACGTTAGTTCATACATTTAGTAGAGATAATGATTTAAAACAACTCCTCGCCGGGACCTAAGAGTGATTACCTCCGACAGGAGTGGGTACGTAGATCATATGGAAATACTAGTAAGTGAAGCAAAATTGTTGACGGTCATTTATTTTTTAACTGTCTCTTCATTACGATATTTAATTTATCACAATAATAGCACGACCAATTACACACTCAGCCTGTTTACAATATCACAAACAGGGTTTATGTACAAAAGAGATTCGCTGTTGGGGACATATTGAGGAAAGAGTTTAATGTGTCATTTAATACTCATCGCCTTCCTCTCCGCCGTCTTTTTCAGTATCCTCAGCGAATTCTTCATAGTCCTTCTCCAGAAAGGCCAAATCTTCACGAGCCTCGGAGAACTCTCCCTCCTCCATACCCTCTCCTACGTACCAGTGGACGAACGCACGCTTAGCATACATCAAATCAAATTTGTTGTTAAGACGACCAAATGCCTCAGCGATAGCGGTGGTGTTGCTCAACATGCACACGGCACGCTGGACCTTGGCCAAATCACCTCCTGGTACAACAGTGGGGGGCTGATAGTTGATGCCCACCTTGAAGCCTGTAGGACACCAGTCGACGAACTCGATAGTCCTTTTGGTCTTAATTGTGGCGATTGCAGCGTTTACGTCCTTTGGAACTACATCACCCCTATACAGAAGGCAGCAGGCCATGTATTTGCCATGCCGTGGGTCACATTTTACCATCTGATTAGCTGGCTCAAAACATGCGTTTGTGATCTCTGCAACAGACAGCTGCTCATGGTAGGCCTTCTCAGCAGAAATAACTGGGGCGTAGGTCGCCAGAGGGAAATGGATACGTGGATAAGGCACCAAATTGGTCTGAAATTCGGTCAGGTCGACATTTAGGGCACCATCAAAGCGAAGGGAGGCGGTGATGGAGCTGACAATCTGTCCAATCAGACGGTTTAGGTTAGTATAGGTTGGGCGGTCAATGTCAAGGTTACGACGGCAAATATCATAAATAGCCTCGTTATCGACCATAAAATTGCAGTCTGAGGAGGCCAGGGTACTGTGAGTGGTCAGAATCGAGTTGTATGGCTCAACGACAGCAGTAGAAATCTGAGGCGCAGGGTATACGGCGAACGCAAGTTTGGATTTCTTTCCGTAATCAATGCTGAGACGTTCCAGCAGCAGAGAAGAAAAGCCAGATCCAGTGCCACCCCCAAAGCTGTGGAAAAGAAGAAACCCTTGGAGACCAGTACACTGGTCAGCCATCTTCCTGATGCGGTCAAGTACAAGGTCAATGAGCTCCTTGCCGACGGTGTAGTAACCGCGGGCGTAGTTGTTGGCGGCATCCTCCTTGCCAGTAATCAACTGCTCAGGATGAAACAGTTGGCGGTATGTTCCAGTTCTCACCTCATCTGCAAGTGGAAGGTTTTTATCACAATCAAGTCAAATGTTGGACATTATGGGAGTTAAATGTCTTTATGTTAACTAGATCATACATATCATCTAGATCATTACAATGTAGAAAGTGTTTCGATAGAGAACTGTTTCAGACAAGCCTGTTTAACGGTCAGACATTTATTTTCCTATTTGAGTGGGTAAGTGCTAGAAGTATAACATGGGAAGCGAAGTCAATTGTCATATTATGCGTTACTTTTTATCGGGTTATTTTGAAACACTTATCCAACCTTTTTAATTCTGGGATTTGGTCTAACCTTAGCGTCAAAATATTATGTATGAATTGATGAAGACTCGTATTGATAATTTTATTTTAAATGTTCGCCCTCCATGATGAGGGTGAGTTTATCATTACAGTGAATACAAGGAAACACCATGCATACATAGTAATAAAACGTGAGGGAGAAATTGGTGCTGGACATTGATTAAAACACAATGAATAAATATTCAGAACATGATAGTAAAAAGTGAGTTTTGTAAATTCATGTATAATTTATTGGTGAAAAAAACCAACATTCAACACCCATTTCCATTGGCTGTAGTTTTTTTAGACTGGGTATATTTATCAATAAAAAATATTTTTAAAAAATGAGAAAGTCAACACCAAAGGAGAAAGGAGTCCAGTATATTGTAACAGCTTCACACTGCATTTGTGAATGATTCTAATGAAAATTAATATTTGTTTGAGAATCTAAAATTTACTAAACAATATTTTGTGAACACGGGTTTATAAACAGATATCATACATTAAATTTAAACCAATAATCAACACAAGAAATTGACACGCAGAGAAAGTTTAACTACAAACTTGAAAAGATGTTTTCCCTCTCATTATGAAAGTAAATGACCAGTATTATAAAACGAGTCTTGTAACACAACCAATACGTGTTTCTATTTACGTTTCGATGACTAGTACGTTATGTACTCTGTGACATTCATCAGACAAATGACCACTGAAGCGTATGTACACAAAGTTGTAAAATGTGTACCAGTCCACAAATCCATGTCGATTTGGCTACGCTGTAAGCGTATGTACAAGTTATTGTTACATATGTACCGAAATGACTTGATTCTGCTACGGTTTGTTTAATACTTGGTCATAGATGTGCGATAGTCTATGACGCTTCACTGGTCATTTGTCTGATGAAGGTGACAGGGTATAACGTACTAGTAATCGAAACGTCACATAGAAACATTCAATGGTTGTGTTACAAGAACCTTTTAATAATCCATACTTACCAACCTGAAGAAAATGTTTAGAAATAAGTGACCAATAGTTTTGATATATCAAGGACATCAGGTGACTTTATATACATATTACAGCTTAAATATGGCATTTACAGTGTCATTTATTAATTACATATCTTGCAGAAATTTATGACATTCTAAAAATTGTCACAAAGTACCACAAGCTAGGCTATCTTGTGTTAGAGTTAGATTATGTACCCTCTACCTTTGCTTAGACGGAACCTGAATATCAAATCATAACCGGTTGGAGAATGCGGTAAATAATGTATGTTATTTTTCCCGCACGTTATTTGTATCGAATGCTTACTGTTCATAACAATTTACTTAGATTACTGAAGTAAAACCTCGTATCGAAATAGTGTTCAGCCTCAGGAAGTCTGTGTAGCGAGATTATATCTCATCTACACTGACAGTCGATTTCATCAGCTTTAGGAAGCCAGTGTACCGAGACAGAATCTGAGAGAAGCCAGTTGACTGAGACTGTATCCAAGTCAGTCGATTTCATCAGCTTTGGGAAACCAGTGTACCGAGACAGAATCTGACAGAAGCCAGTGTACCGGAACCGAGACTGTAGGGGTATACAGTTTACCGAGACTGTAGGGGTATACAGTTTACCGAGACTGTAGGGAGACTGTAGGGGTATACAGTTTACCGAGACTGTAGGGGTATACAGTTTACCGTGACTGTAGGGGTATACAGTTTACCGAGACTGTGTATGAAGGTAGGTTGTCAAGACTGTATATAAGGACAACCAGTGTACCGAGGCTGTATTTGAGGACAGCCAGTGTACCGAGACTGTATAAGAGGATAGCCAGTGTACAGAGGCTGTATTTGAGGACAGCCAGTGTACCGAGACTGTATTTGAGGACAGCCAGTGTACCGAGACCGTATTTAAGGACAGCCAGTGTACCGAGACTGTATAAGAGGATAGCCAGTGTACCGAGGCTGTATTTGAGGGCAGCTAGTGTAGTGAGACTGTATAAGAGGACAGCCAGTGTACCGAGACTGTATATGAGGGCAGCCAGCGTACCGAGGCTGTATTTGAGGGCAGCCAGTGTACCGAGTCTGTTTCCTATAACAAGGAGACATATCCTCTCATTAACACTAACATACAACATACCTTACTTACACCAACAAACCTAATTACAAGGAGACACAACCTCTCATTAACACTCACATACAATATTCCTTACACCAACAAACCTAATTACAAGGAGACACATCCTCTCATTAACACTCGCATACAACATACCTCACCACAACAAACCTAATTACAAGGAGACACATCCTCGCATTCACATACAACATACCTCACCACAACAAAACCTAATTACAAGAAGACACATCCTCTCATTAACTTACTACACACTTTGCCACAACAAACCTCATTACAAGGAGACACATCCTCTCATTAACGTACTACACACCTTACCACAACAAACCTTATTACAAGGAGACACATCCTCTCATTAACTTACTACACACTTTGCCACAACAAACCTTATTACAAGGAGACACATCCTCTCATTAACGTACTACACACATATCATATCATATGTAAAATATAATATTCCTGCAAAAAGAAGATCAGATATAGAGATAGCTACCATTGAATGTGTCTGGTTAGAAATTGTACTTGGTTCAGAGAAAATATTATATGGTACTTTTTATCGGCCTCCAAACTCTCCTGTCATCATATGGTCCCATATCTCGCATTCTATAGAAAACGCGTATAATACAGGCATCTCTCATATTGTGATAACCGGAGACTTCAATGCAAATGCCCTAGTAGACCACCATTCTTCCCACTTACGCGATATACTTGCTTCCTTTAATCTAACTCAGCTTGTTGAATCACCAACTTTTTATACAGAAGCCTCGGAGTCATTGTTAGATATAGTCTAGATCTGTACTAGTAGTAATAACCTTATTAATAATGTTATGTTGGAGAAAGCTTCCTTGACCAACCGGTTATATACCATTGTCCAATTTACTGTTCTTTTAATATTTCAAAGCCAGTGCAACAGGTGTTTAAGCGAAACGTTTGGCTTTTTGACCTAGGAAATTACGATTTATTTAGGGAAAAACTCAGCTCAGTTAACTGGAATTTATTGAGTGATTTTGATGATATTAATGATGCTGTCAAAAAGTTCTTAGATATTTTACTTACTATTGCTAAATCTTGTATTCCGAATAAAAAAATAACCATCAGATCTAATGAACCCCCTTGGCTATCAAACGAAATAAGGAGATTAATTCGTAAACGTAAGCGCGCTCATAAAAAAGCCAAGCGTACCCTTACTGAAGCTCACTGGGCAAAGTTTCGTCGACTTCGTAACAAATGTGTTAACACAATCAAGCACGCCAAATTAACATATTTTTCTAATTTATGTAGCGAACTTCGCAAACCTTCCAACATTAGTGCTAAACAATGGTGGAAAACTGTAAAGCAACTATTACCTAACTCTGGTAAATTTTGTATACCACCATTGCTTCTTAACAATAGCACTGTCTCAGATGACTTTGAGAAAGCTTGCTTATTTAATGACTTCTTTTGTGCCCAGTCTACAGTTGATGATTCCAATGTAAATCTCCCTAACATTAACGACGAATGTAATAATTCCTTATCTGATATTAACATCACAGCTAATGATGTCAGAGATGCTATTCTTACCACTGACTGTTCTAAGGGTCTGGGTTATTTCTATCTGAATGGAAGCTTGCTAACGTCACCCCTGTGCATAAAAAAGATAACAAGTCTATATTAACTAATTACAGACCTATATCACTGCTATCGATCGTTGGTAAATTAATGGAAAAATGTGTCTTCAAATATGTCTACAATTTTTTGCACACTCACTCCCTCCTATCCCCCCATCAATCTGGGTTTAGGCACAGTGACTCACCATCAAATCAACTTCTTGCGATCATTCATGATATATATTTAGCCTTAGACAATAGTAAGGAAATACGTATGGTCTTCTGTGATATTAGTAAAGCTTTCGATCGTGTTTGGCATACAGGCCTTCTTTGTAAATTATCCAGCTATTGGATTCGAAATTCGCTATTAGTTTGGTTTGAAAATTATCTTTCCGATCGAAAGCAGAGAGTTGTCATCAATGGTAAAAATTCAAATTGGTTAAATGTTAAGGCTGGTGTTCCACAGGGCTCAATTCTTGGACCTCTTTTATTTTTGATATATATAAATGACATTGTTAAAGATATACAAGCTAAAATAAAGTTATTCGCTGATGACACCTCTCTTTACGTAACCGTTGATATTCCTAGAGTCAGCGCAGATATTCTTAATAGTGACCTTAATAAGTTTCATAACTGGTCGCAAAGATGGTTAGTAAATTTTAACCCATCCAAAACAGAAACCCTGCTCATTAGTAGAAAAACCATTAAACCGTTTCATCCTCCCTTAAATATGAACAATACTAACATCTCTGAAGTTGCTACACACAAGCATTTAGGTATTTTTCTCTCTGGAAATGGTCATTGGAATGAACACATCAGTTATTTGATATCTAAGATTTCACCTAAAATAAATATCTTACGTAAATTTAAATTCTCTTTGGACAGGTATAGTCTCCAAACTATGTACTACACTCTTATTCGACCTATATTAGACTATGGCGATATCTTATGGGACTGCCTTACTAAAGCTCAATCTGAATTATTAGAAAATCTTCAATTAGAAGCAGCACGCATAGTCACTGGCGGCACTAGACTCACAAGTAGAATTAAACTGTATACTGAAACAGGTTGGCTTCCCCTCGAGGAAAGACGTAAACAGCACAAGCTTATTCTTTTCCACAAAATGGTTCATGGTCTGGCTCCTCAATATCTTCTAGATATTCTACCTCAGCGTAACCGTAATTACCACAACCATGATACTCGCACGGGAAATAATTTTCGTCCACTAGTTAGTCATACTAGTCTCTATAATAAATCTTTTTTGCCATCTGTCATCAGTATCTGGAACTCCTTGCCTGACTATGTCAAGAACGACCCTTCAATCTATAAACTTAAAACCTATCTACGCAAGCCCTCTCAAAAAAATAAAATTTTCTACTTACTGGTACCAGACTGGGGCAGATACATCATGCTAGATTAAGAATGGAGTGTAGTTCCCTTAAGTTTTATCTATACCAAAGAAATCTAATTGATAGTCCTCTGTGTTCTTGCATGCAAGCAAATGTAACCAATGAACATTATCTATTACATTGTTGTCTTTTTTCTCAAATACGGTTACATACATTTAACGAAATCAATCATCCACTCTCAACTGATTTACTTTTGTTCGGGAATAATGAGCTTACAGATCTATCTATCTTGTATACTGTTCACAATACTCTGGGAATTATTCCGAACAGGTGACGAAAATGCCTTAATTTTTTCATCTGTACAAAACTTCATCATCCATTCTAAAAGATTTGACTAAGTTCTATTCATTATACAACGATCCTTTGTTTCACATCACCTATTTCTTCTCCTTCTATTCTTATTGGCACGGGCATCTATACCCCCCCCCCCCCCCCCCCTGTACCCCTTTTCTTTTACTCTCATTTCAAATATCGAATGAACTACGTTTAAAAGTAAGCTACTGTTTTAAGTGTTTATATTTCTTTCCATAGAATTCAGTAACTTTATACCATCATGCCCTAAATTAATGAGATAAATTCTCGGAAACGGATTTATATAAGTTATTTCAACTTATTTCCGGATCCCATTCCTCTGTACTTTGTATGTTATGTGATGTAATGCAACTTAATTTGGAATGAAATAAAGTTTATATTAAACCTTATTACAAGGAGAATAAGCCTGAACACAATTATAGTTCATTTAAAACGACAAGTGTCAATGGCAGATGAGTAGGCAGCTATGCTCCAATAAACTAGGGTAACTATCGGAACTAGGCAGGGAAACTATCACTGCTACTTCATACAACCTTCAAACACACCAAATATCAGTGCATGTAATAGTAAACACCCTGGTTACTTCACGGACTGTAAGTTTAACTGTCGGCACCAACGCAGGGAAACACTTATTTATACATTAACACCGACACGCAGACACGTGTTATAGGCTTAGCATGGTGTCTCATCCTTTTGATAATACATGTTTTGTTTTGTTTTTCTTAACATTTGTTCATCTGTATCATTATAGCTCTAATTTATAATCAATGACAATATAATTGAATGGAGAGACGAAACACCGTATCAAACACATTGGTTTTTGTAGTTAATTAAGCATAACTAAAATTTTCTTAAGGTTATTAATTCAAATTGAGTTATTTATTAGTGCGGTGTGTTTCGTACATTAGTCTATTGAGTTCGTGCAGAAGCAGGGTAAATTTAAGTGTGGACCTCCGTACCCTCTCATACCCCACACTCTCAATTTATCGTAAAAACCTTCGCCTATACTGTCACTATATACACATATGTAAAACCATTTATTACATTTTACCACAGAAACAAAAAAATTCAAATTAGTATAAAGGCTGTATATCACTGTAGTTAATATATACGAAATTGAATATTTAACATAAGATGCTCTTAGACTTTATCTGGTGTTTATAGTATCACACCGACTTTATCTGGTGTTTATAGTATCACAACGACTTTATCTGGTGTTTATAGTATCACAACGACTTTATCTAGTGTTTATAGTATCACAACGACTGTATCTAGTGTTTATAGTATCACATCGACTTTATCTAGTGTTTATAGTATCACAACGACTGTATCTAGTGTTTATAGTATCACAACGACTTTATCTAGTGTTTATAGTATCACAACGACTGTATCTAGTGTTTATAGTATCACATCGACTTTATCTAGTGTTTATAGTATCACAACGACTTTATCTAGTGTTTATAGTATCACAACGACTGTATCTAGTGTTTATAGTATCACATCGACTTTATCTAGTGTTTATAGTATCACAACGACTTTATCTAGTGTTTATAGTATCACAACGACTTTATCTAGTGTTTATAGTATCACAACGACTTTATCTAGTGTTTATAGTATCACAACGACTTTATCTAGTGTTTATAGTATCACAACGACTTTATCTAGTGTTTATAGTATCACAACGACTTTATCTAGTGTTTATAGTATCACAACGACTTTATCTAGTGTTTATAGTATCACAACGACTTTATCTAGTGTTTATAGTATCACAACGACTTTATCTAGTGTTTATAGTATCACAACGACTTTATCTAGTGTTTATAGTATCACAACGACTTTATCTAGTGTTTATAGTATCACAACGACTTTATCTAGTGTTTATAGTATCACAACGACTTTATCTGGTGTTTATAGTATCACAACGACTTTATCTGGTGTTTATAGTATTACAACGACTTTATCTAGTGTTTATAGCATCACAACGACTTTATCTAGTGTTTATAGTAACACAACGACTGTATCTAGTGTTTATAGTAACACAACGACTGTATCTAGTGTTTATAGTATGACAACGACTTTATCTAGTGTTTATAGTATCACAACGACTTTATCTAGTGTTTATAGTATCACAACGACTATATCTGGTGTTTATAGTATCACAACGACTTTATCTGGTGATTATAGTATCACAACGACCTTATCTGGTGTTTATAGTATCTCAACGACTTTATCTGGTGTTTATAGTATCACAACGACTTTATTTGGTGTTTATACAATGTAGTATCACAACGACCTTATCTGGTGTTTATAGTATCACAACGACTTTATCTAGTGTTTGAAGTAATATTATTAGTTATAAAGGTCTTTGGCAGGGTACATGGTCTCATGTTCGCTGTCATGACCTTAGGTACCCTGAGCCTGCCTTCGGCTTAGGGTACATAGGGTCCTGACAGCGAACGTGAGACCATGTACCCTGCCAAAGACCTGTATAACGAATTTGTCATACTGCAACGCCATTTATAGGTTGGGACTCGTTGTTTGCCAGAAAACAGATACTGTGTAGGGCGGTAGTACGGGAAACAGAAAAAATTTTTTTTTTGTATAATTCCAACAATTTAATAAAGTTTTGAATTATAATAAGTGATCAACAATATGTTTTTGAAACAACATTAAATAACAACTCAGTTCTCTAACAAACCGTTTCGCCATATTGTTGATTGTTGACATTAGCACACGAACGTTCTCCGGTGTGTTCGATTCGAATCTTTGAGTTATCTCCCTTACAACTTGCGCGCGTGCTCTTATGTACCCCGGCAAGGATACGGACATAGCTTCAGGTACCTTGGCAATTCGACCAATCACCGTGCGACATTTTTCTTTGCAGTATGACAAAACGACATTATCTCGTGTTTGAAGTAACAAAAAGACATTATATCGTGTTTGAAGTAACATACCGACTTTATGTGGTGTTTGTAGGTATATTACGACCTTATCCAGTGTTTCAAGCAACATTACAACCTTATCCCGTGTTTCAAGCAACAATACGACCTTATTTCGTGTTTGAAGTGATAGTACGACATTATCTAGTGTTTGTTGTTACAGAACGTTCTTATCTCGTTTTTGTAACATAACGACCCTATCTCGTATTTGAATTAACATAACGACCTTATCTCGTGTTTGTAGTAACATAGCGACATTATCTCGTTTTTTAGTAACATAACGCTATTATCACGTGTTTTAAGTAATATAAAGACCTTGTTAAGTGTTTGAAGTAAATAACGACCGTTTCTCGTGTTTTAAGTAACATAACGACTTTATATGGTGTTTGTAGTAACATAACGACATTATCTCGTTTTTGAAGTATCATTACGACCTTATCTCGTGTTTGAAGTAACATTACGACCTTATCTCGTGTTTGAAGTATCATTACGACCTTATCTCGTGTTTGAAGTAACATTACGACCTTATCTCGTGTTTGTAGTAACATAACGACCTTATCCTGTGTTTGTAACAAAATAACGACTTTGTCTGGTGTTTGTAGTAACATTACGACTTTATCTGATATTTGAAGCAACATTACGACCAAATATATTGTTTTAAGTAAGATTATGGCTTTATCTATTGTTTTAAGTAACATTGCGATCTATCTAATGTTCGTGGTAATCAAACGTTTTACTTACCGACGACGGTGGGCTCGAGATCCAGAAACACAGCCCGAGGTACATGTTTGCCAGCTCCGGTCTCACTGAAGAATGTATTGAAGGAGTCGTCTCCCCCTCCGATTGTCTTGTCTGAGGGCATCTGACCATCAGGCTGAATGCCATGCTCCAAACAGTACAACTCCCAGCAGGCATTGCCCATCTGGACACCGGCTTGACCAACATGGATACTGATACATTCCCGCTGTAAAACGTACCATACACAGATGAGGCATAACAAAATATTCGAGAAAAACATCTCATTTATTTTTCAATGTTAAGAAATTGATAAAACAATGAATTACTCATCTTCAGTTTCATATCTTTACACTTACATTCATTATAACAGTTATGACCATGATATTTCCAAACTCTATTAAATACGTGGCTACCACATTGTTGGACTTTTAGCAGATAGAAGCATCCGATTTATCGTTTACATTTAACGCTTCAATCTATGGCGAGGAATGTTTTTGGTTTTTGTAATTATAAATTGATTTTCAACTATGAGAATCGTGCGTTAGATCGCCATAGTAGTATCTTCTGGTCACGAGATAGCTGTACGGGACATCACGGGCCGACAGTTTAAACCTTATTCTTGCCGTCACTGCCGTACAACAAACGTAGCATCACCTTCACGCCCCGGTCACAAATGAACGGATCGGAGGCCGGATTAGCCACGGAAACGATCCGGCATCATTCGTGGAAATCTTTAGTGGTCTGTAGCTGTCCGTATTGTATCCTTGGTCAATCGTAGTAGTACTTGTATATCCGTGACAGTTTTTGAACATGTTCAAAAATTCACTACGGATCAGACCACCGTAGTACAAACTTACTGATCCGTAGTTGAACGTACTAATTCGTTGCAGTCCGTAAAAAAACGTAATTATCCGTACTTATTCGTAGTAGATATCCAGCCTCAAGTCACCAAGGTATTACGTTGTTGAGTGAACACGCGAGCGAAGGAGTTTGTTTACGGATTGCTTACCGTGCCAGACCGTTCTAATTCGTGCTAACCCGTACTAAAATCGTAGCGAACCGTTGTTAATCCGCAGTGCATACGCCGTGACACGTGTCTTTCCGTACTAAACCGTACCGAACCGTAGCAAGCCGTATCCGTAGCGGACCACTGATATAGACTATTCCCGGGTCATCCGTGAGTTTCCATCCGAAGTGGATCCGGCGAGACGATACGTGAATGTGTAACCGGGGCATATGGTATATTTGTGTTGTTTATTGACGCTGTGGTATATTTGTGTTGTTTATTGACGCTTTGGTATATTTGTGTTGTTTATTGACGCTGTGGTATATTTGTGTTGTTTATTGACGCTGTGGTATATTTGTGTTATTTATTGACGTGGTAGTATATTTGTGTTGTTTATTGACGCTGTGGTATATTTGTGTTGTTTATTGACGCTGTGGTATATTTAATTGTATATATTGATTCCTTCTATGCTATCCTCATGTATGTTATGTTATATTTAATAAATGCAACAAACCAAATGTATTAATAATTATCTACTTAATGTGTTTGAAGAAGTCATATTTAATTTACCATAAGTTACTTTCCTTTTTTGTTGTTTTTATAAACCCTTCCATTCATGGGCCATTTGACTGTGATGTTACATTTTGTAATTACCTAAGCGGTGTTGCTCTTCTATACCATACGGCAGTTTATGGTTATTGTCACAAAGACATTTTGATCTACATGCTTTCATGGATTCGATCAGAACTACGATTTCCCACAAACCTTTTTACTGAATACAGTTAAAACAACAGGTATAGAATTTCAATAAATAATACAACAACCACGAATCTCACAAACATAAATATGATAAAAACAAAAATTAAATGGTTTTACTAGGCTAAGTGTACCTAACAACGACGCATATTGGTTGGCAGTTTTTTCCGTGTTCTTTTATCGATTTCACTGTTGTCCTCCAATACATTTCCTGACATTCCTGTGACGTACGTGAAGTAAGAGGGTAAGAAAATGTTAATTGTATAATAAATACGTATATGAAATCACACTGGACCAACTGACATAGGGTAATAACAGGCTGCGTGGTCACAGGTGGTACTGAGGTCTCTCTATAGCTGTCACAGACTTGTCACGTAGGTGTCTTGTCAACTCTGTTATCCTAAAAATCAAAATGTCCCGAGAGTCAGTGTTTGACACTTCAAAAAAAGAATGAAAAGAAATAAGTATGACATAACTCACCATTTTGATGAAATACGAAATTAGCTGGCGAAGTCCTCTTTTGAGACAATGGTGAGTTGTAAGGGTGTTTAACCTGAACACCCGGGGTACTGCGCATTATATTGTCACCCAGAGAGAATGCCGACTAATTGATAACACGTGACTAAAGCAATAAAATATATTGCAGACGGCAGGGCAACAGAGGGAATCAATATTGATGAAGTTTTTGTTGGTAGAAACGGGCGTCCGACAGAAGTCGTATAAACATGATAGAGACCCGTGTGTTAAACACCTTACGACAAGTATAGTCAAGACACTAGTTACCCATCAAATCACTTAATAAAGTATTGAACAAAACTAATTTGAATGTGTTAATGTTAAATACAATAGTGTTCCGTGTTTACACGCCTACAGTAGGCCTGGACCTCAGACATGACGTGGATTGTATACTGTGTGGTGTTACTATCACTACTGCTTAGGACGCGTGACACTTAGATAATTGGGGATGTGTACAGTCATGTTAAAGTTGCCACGAAAGAAAACGAACCAAAGACTGGTGTATATATGATGCGGTTCACCAATATACATTTGAATGGACGAAAACAATTCATGTTTAACCGAAGAAATATTAAAAGATATACCATGGCATTACAACACAAATAAATAACTGGCTTCACCTCACAAATAAATAACCGGCATCAAAACACAAATAAATAACCTTCATCACGATCGCATAAATAACCAGCATCATGACACAAATAAATAACTGGCATCACTTCACAAATAAATAACCGGCATCAAAACACAAATGAGTAACATGTATCAAACAGATATAAATAATCGGTATAAAAACATAAATAAAAACCCGTCATCAAAACACAAATAAATAACCAGCATCACCTCACAAGTAAATAACCGTATATCACCTAACAAATAAGAAAGCGGAATCAAAACAAAAATAAAAAAACTGGCAACAAAACACAAATAAATAACCGGCATCACCACACAAATAATAAACAGGCATCACCACACAAATAAATAACCAGCATCGAAACACAAATAAATAACCGGCTTCACCACACAAATAAATAACCGGCATCAAACCACACAAATAAAATCACCGGCATTGCAAAATAAATACATAACCGGCATCAAAACACAAATAAAAAACCAAGCATCACTTCACAAATAAAAACCAAATTCACCTCACAAATAAATAAAAGGAATCACTTCACATATAAATAACCAGCATCAAAACATAAATAAATAGCCGGCTTTACAACACAAATAAATAACCGGCATCACCACAAAAATAAATACCTAGCATCACTTCACAAATAAATAACCTGCATCAAAACACAAATAAATAACCGGTATTACCACACAAATAAATACCTAGCATCACTTCACAAATAAATAATCAGCTTCACTAAACAAATAAATAACAGGCATCACTTCACAAATAAATAACCTGCATCAAAACACAAATAAATAACCGGTATCACCACACAAATAAATACCTAGCATCAAAACAAATAAATAATCAGCTTCACTAAACAAATAAATAACAGGCATCACTTCACATATAAATAACAGGCATCACACCACAAATAAATAACCTGCTTTACCACACAAATAAATAAACGGCATCACTACACAAATAACTTACCTGCTTTACAACACAAATAAATAACTGGCATCACCACACAAATAATTAACAGGCATCAAAACACAAATAAATACCCGTTATCATCTTTACAAATATATAACCTATCATAAAAACACAAATAAATAAGTAGCATTGCTTCAAAAATAAATAACCAGAATCAAAACACAAATAAGTAACCGGCATCAAAGCAGAAATAATTAACCGGCAACAAAACACGAATCAATAACCGAAATCATCACACAAATAAATAACCGGCATCACATCACAAATAAATAAACAGCATTACCACACAAATAAATAACCGTCATCATCTTTACAAATATATAACCTATCATAAAAACACAAATAAATAAGTAGCATTGCTTCAAAAATAAATAACCAGAATCAAAACACAAATAAGTAACCGGCATCAAAGCAGAAATAATTAACCGGCAACAAAACACGAATCAATAACCGAAATCATCACACAAATAAATAACCGGCATCACATCACAAATAAATAAACAGCATTACCACACAAATAAATAACCGTCATCATCTTTACAAATATATAACCTATCATAAAAACACAAATAAATAATTAGCATTGCTTCAAAAATAAATAACCAGAATCAAAACACAAATAAGTAACCGGCATCAAAGCAGAAATAATTAACCGGCAACAAAACACGAATCAATAACCGAAATCATCACACAAATAAATAACCGGCATCACATCACAAATAAATAAACAGCATTACCACACAAATAAATAACCGTCTTCATCTTTACAAATATATAACCTATCATAAATACACAAATACATGACCGGCATTACAAACCAAATAAATAACCGGCATCAAAAACAAATATAAATAACAGGAATCACACCACAAATAAATAACCTGCTTTACAACACAAATAAATGACTGGCATCTCCACACAACTAATTAACAGGCATCAAAACGCAAATAAATAACCGATTTAATCTTTACAAATATATAACCTATCATAAAAACACAAATAAATAATTAGCATTGCTTCAAAAATAAACAACCTGCATCAAAACACATATAAATAACCGGCATCACCACACAAATAACTAACTAGCATCAAAACAAATAAATAATCAGCTTCACTAAACAAATAAATAACAGGCATCACACCAAAAATAAATAACAGGCATCACACCACAAATAAATAACCTGCTTTACAACACAAATAAATGACTGGCATCTCCACACAACTAATTAACAGGCATCAAAACACAAATAAATAACCGTTATAATCTTTACAAATATATAACCTATCATAAATACACAAATACATGACCGGCATTACAAAACAAATAAATAACCGGCATCAAAAACAAATATAAATAACAGGCATCACACCACAAATAAATAACCTGCTTTACAACACAAATAAATGACTGGCATCACCACACAACTAATTAACAGGCATCAAAACACAAATAAATAACCGATTTAATCTTTACAAATATATAACCTATCATAAAAACACAAATAAATAATTAGCATTGCTTCAAAAATAAATAACCAGAATCAAAACACAAATAAGTAACCGGCATCAAAGCAGAAATAATTAACCGGCAACAAAACACGAATCAATAACCGAAATCATCACACAAATAAATAACCGGCATCACATCACAAATAAATAAACAGCATTACCACACAAATAAATAACCGTCTTCATCTTTACAAATATATAACCTATCATAAATACACAAATACATGACCGGCATTACAAAACAAATAAATAACCGGCATCAAAAGAAAATATAAATACCAAGCATCACTTCACAATTAAATACCAAGCTTCACCCCACAAATTAATATTCAGCATCACTTAACAAATATATAACCAGGATCTCTTAACAAATATATAACCAGGATCACTTAACAAAAATATAACCAGCATCACTTAACAAATATATAACCAGGATCACTTAACAAATGTATAACCAGGATCACTTAACAAATATATAACCAGCATCACTTAACAAATATATAACCAGGATCACTTAACAAATATATAACCAGAATCACTTAACAAATATATAACCAGCATCACTTAACAAATATATAACCAGCATCACTTAATAAATATATAAACAGGATCACTTAACATATAAATAACCAGGATCACTTAGCAAATATATAACCAGCATCACTTAACAAATATATAACCAGCATCACTTAACAAATATATAACCATATAACCAGGATCACCACACACAAAAATTACCAGCATCAAAACATAAATAAACAAACAGGATCACGACACAAATAATTTACCAGCATCAAAACATAAATAAACAAACAGTATCACGACACAAATAAATAACCGAAATCAAATCATAAATAAATTAGCAGCATCAAAACATAAATAAACAAACATGATCACGACACAAATAAATAACCGAAATCAAATCATAAATAAATAACCGAAATCACACTACAAATAAATAACCGGCATCAAAACAGAAATAAATTACCAGCATCAAAACATAAATAAACAAACAGGATCACGACACAAATAAATAACCGAAATCAAATCATAAATAAATAACCGAAATCAAAACAGAAATAAATAACTGGCATCACATCTCAAATAAATAACCAGCATCACCACAGAAATATATTACCAGCATCACTTAACAAATATATCACCATATAACCAGGATCACGAAACAAATAAATAACCGGCATCAACTCACAAATAAATAACCAGCATCAAAACATGAATAAACAACCAGGATCACCACACAAATAAATAACCGAAATCAAATCATAAATAAATAACCGAAATCAAAACAGAAATAAATAACCGGCATCACCTCAGAAATTATTTATCATCATCAAAACAGAAATAGATTAGCTACCAATGTAACCATCCAACTACTGGCTTCTCCCATACTGATTACCTACCGATGTAACCATCCTACTACTGACTTCTCCCATACTGATTACCTACCGATGTTACCACTCTACTACTGACTTTTCCCATACTGATTACCTACCGATGTAACCATCCTACTACTGGCTTCTCCCATACTGATTACCTACCGATGTAACCATCCTCCTACTGACTTCTCCCATACTGAATACGTACCGATGTAACCATCCTCCTACTGACTTCTCCCATACTGATTACCTACCGATGTAACCACCCTACTACTGACTTCTCCCATACTGATTACCTACCGATGTAACCATTCTACTACTGGCTTCTCCAATACTGATTACGTACCGATGTAACCATCCTACTACTGGATTCTCCCATACTGATTACCTACTGATGTAACCATCCTACTACTGGCTTCTCCGAAACTGATTACCTACCGATGTAACCATCCTACTACTGGCTTCTCCCATACTGATTACCTACCGATGTAACCATCCTACTACTGACTTCTCCCATACTGA